CATTCAATAACGAATTTTAACAAATTTGCTAACATTATTTCTGGACACCCCATAAAAAAAGAAGTTCTTCCCCAAAAAAATCATTTACGAAAAAGCTTCTGTTAAACAAGAACAAGTAAAGACCATAAACAACAATATTCATATATGAGTTCATTTCTAATAAAGTTGAACATCAGTTAGAGATTGTTTTTTCATATGAATTCAACTAAGCATGCTCTGCTATTAAATCAAATGATTTTTGGTAAATTAAAAAATCAATGGTTGTCGCAAGCTTACGCAGCATTAAGAAAGAAAAACGACGATAAATAAGAAACTTAATTGGTCCTTCCTTTAGCAAACCGAAAATATTCTTTTGCATCTTTAAGACAGACTGACACATGGAATAGAACAACAAAATTAAAAGATAAGTGGATACACATATGCGAGTAACAAGTACGTCTTATCACCTGTTATAATTTTTGGTGAGATACAGAAACAAAATAGTCGAGTAACAGTTTTGGTTTTTAATAATACGTTGTAATTTCTAGAGCATAAATAATTGAAATCTTGAGTTCTTCGTAGAGCTACACAAACATTTAAATAGACGACAAAGAACAATCTAAACAGTTCTCATAACTATGAAATTTGTAGAAACTATGTGATCTTTCGAGTCATGTTTATCTAACAAAGATGATCAAGGGTCATGTTTGAAAAAAAGGTTAACAATATTATCATTAAAAACATATGATCAATATACAGAGTCATGTTTATCTAACAAAGATGATCAAGGGTCATGTTTGAAAAAAAAAGTTATCAATATTATCATTAATATGTTTTAAAAACATATGATCAATATACACAGTCATGTTTATCTCACAATTATGATCTAGGGTCATGTTTGAAAAAAAGGTTAACAATATCATCATTAATATGTTTTAAAACATATGATCAAGATACAGAGTCATGTGCTTGTAAAAAGGATGATCGACATCGTAATTTATACGTTTTAAAATTAGATTACCAATATTTGAAGTAATTCGCTGGTAGAAAGAAGACCAATATCATTAACATGTAGCTAAGCAAACAATAACCAGAATCCTGTGCAACGAAGCTATTGTGAGAGATGCTAACTTTGGAGTCATAAGCCTACAGTTAAAAAAAAGAAAAAAAAGACTACCCTTTTCAGTAGTAAAATATAAATTTTATTCTGAGCCATGTGACTGGCTATAATAAAATGTTATTAGTCTCTGGATTACTTAGGTTTGAGGTCGTGGCCAATAATCTGAGTTACGAGAATATTAGTAAAAAAATAATTTAGCACTTTAGGTCACGTTACTTTTGCCAGCAAAGACCATTATTCTGTGCCATACGAGTTTTGTTAGTGCCAAGTAACTTTTATCAGCAACGCCCCGTATTCTGCGTTATGTGAATTTTGTTAGCGCTGAGTAGTATTCTATATCATGTGAATTTTGTCAGCGCTGATGAAAATTCTAAACATTGTGACTTTGGTCAGCGCTAACCAGTATCTCGAGCCATCGAACGGTAGTCAGTGGATCATATCACCGATAACTGAATAGGTTCTCGCAAATACATTTAGTTATTGTTCTCAATTCGAACGTGTAATGTAAACATTTTCTACGAGTACTTTATTCGAAGCCTTTCGTGCAGCTTATGCTGAGCATAACAACAAAATTAACAAACTTATTTGGATAATACTTTGTGAAAAAGCTCAGCGTGTTACTTTTCCTGGAAAAAAAAGACAGAAATTAACTACACTAACTGTTATCATATAACATCAACGGGGTTATAATGGCGTTGATTTTTTCCCAATTATTCTAACAAACTGCCCGCATACATCAAGACGAGAAACCACACATCAAATATTCATCGATAAACCATGAGGCTACGGTGGGCAGGTCTCAACTTACAAAGCATAAGCCTCCATTGTTCTGATCCAACCAATGGTAGGTCTTCACGGCGTGGCTCTGGCACGAGCAGACCCCCCCTTTCTGCCAATCTATGAGTGCATCTGCTTACTTGATGAACTCCGAAATCAGAGATTCCCTCTGAGGTCACTCAACCAGACATAGACCCTGAAATCATAGCCTACCGACGTCATTTGTTAAGCACTCTCTCCGTGGTCATGCAAAGGGCAGCACACTAAAAATCGGGTCGATTCACTGCTTGCTCTTCTCAGACCGGTGTCCATCGCTTCTTTGTTTTCTCGCCAGTTACATTCACATGCTATAATAGCAGATGCTGTGAGGTCAATTTGATTTGATACGCCTTTGGACACTCTGTTTTGTGGCGCTTTTTCATAAACCTCTTAATGATGACTTCGTCAGTGACAACAAAGCCTCCAGGAACGTCAAGTAGGTTGAAACGTATTCGTGCTAATTTTTCTATTTACTTAATAACGATGGTAGATCTAGTTCTTTTCAGCATGTTCATGATTTTTGTTTTCTTTGTTAAAAAGCCGTTTTAGTTAGACATTCGACGTAACTTAAGTTTATAATTCAAACTATACGAATACTATATAAAATCTAGCATGAGTAAAATAATAATACCTGAAGAAGACAGATCAATGTCCTGTCGAAACATGTATTATGTTCCCCCAAAATAAATTACTTCATTATGCTTATAAATCGTTGTTTGCCAACTTTTTATCATATTAGTATAATGTGCCTCCATACTCAAGTTGCAACAGTAAAACCTATGAATTTTATAGGTTATTGAAGAATGGCGTAAGTGGGTTATGTATCATATATATATGTAGAATTTTAAAAGCTGAAAACGTAAGCAAAACTCAAACCCTCATTATAGATACGGAACTGCAAAACCGTTAATGTAGAATCTGTGGTGTTTCAATATTTTGCGCAAAGTTATCTAACGGCTTTCTGCACATAGTCGTACCTAATTTTGAACCGAGCGATTAGATAGAAGGCGATTATCAACAGCACCCACCGCCAATCCTTGTCTGATTAACTAATGTGATTTGATCATTACTCTTATAATCACCCAAGGCTTCAAAGTGCCGAGCGCATTTTTGTGGTAACGGATGACAAAAGAACGCGAAACTCAAACCTTCAGATTCACAGTTCTGTTACTTTAATCACTAGACCACGCCCGAAACAAAAATAGTGAAGTAAACGCGAGTATAGCACAATTATCAAAACCTGGAAATAGAACAAATGGAATTCAATGTATTTCATAGAATATATATATATATATATATATATATATTACAATATAATAATTTGTTGAAAAAAAAAAAAGTATTCAACCTCAATTCAGAAAAAATGAAATGTTTTAACATCTCCACCAGAGGGAACTTTAATCTTTTGTAGTTTCTTTGTAGTTAAGCGCACAGCTATACAATGGGCTATCTGTGCTGTACCCACAACAGGTATCGAAACCTGGTTTCTAGCGTTTTAAGTCAGGAGACTTGCTGTTGTGCCACTGGGGGGGGGCTCTCTGTAGCTAAAATAAATCATGCTATGTTTCAGAAACCTTCCTTCTCTCTCTCTCTTTCTCTGTCTGTCTGTTCGTCTTTCAGTGTTAGAAGGAGTAAGGAGGTTTTATTCAGCAAATTAAGTGTTTTATACATACATATATATTATATATTCAGAAGAAAATGACTACGATAGACGGTTTTACAGTTTTAGAAACACGCCTATTTTCATTTCGAACAGTAGTAGTAATAATAATTAATGGTTCGACTTATTATATATGACTTTTATATATACTTTCCATTATTATTATAGTTTTCTTCCCAGAAAATACACAGAAACACTTAAGTAAATATATTTATATTTGTGTAATAACTAATGTAAGCGTATTAACTCCCAGCATAAAGTTTTCCAGTTAATTTCTAAATTACTGCAAATAATCAAGATGACTATTAAATTGTTAATGAATATTAGCAATTCAATTAGTGGGAAGATATTCTAACAAATTCTGCCCCATCCTAACTAAAGCTATTGTTTACGGACGAGGTTTAGGTATAATGTAGTAGTTGAGACATTTGTTTTTAAGAACAGGGTTATTAGAAAAATCTCCCCTTTCAGCGGAATATTCTTATTTTTTAGGGACTTGTAGGTATGAGCCTCAAACAGAATCTGGTTAGTGTGTTATGGCTGAACAAGAATATATTACAGAACTGAGGAAAACAAAAAAGAATTGTACGTTTTATAAACATTTCATTTCTTATAAGCATAATTTTGCCAGTAAAGGCTTCATTAGTCACAGACTTGTACTAGCGACACCATTGTCGTTGTGAACGAACTATAAAGTACTGACAGTTTCGAGTATTAATTATTTAAGAACATGTTATATTAGATGACATTAAATTGTTGAATGATAAATTACATATGAAATTAAACCTTGGGTATATTTATATATATATGAAGAAAACATTCATTTTTTAAAATATTTTGACCATAAGAATGTAAGAGAATTTGGAATGATCTCCTATTGTGTTTTAACAACGTAAACCGGAATTAATTTGCGAATGTTTTTGAACTACGTATTACGCATTCAGAACTCTCACATATATATATATACACTAATACTTCAAATGGATCGTAAGTAGTCAGTTAAAATATAATATTACAGTAATGGTGAGCAGGGATTTCAGGAAATATCTATATATATAGTTGCATATGGCAGTCACCATATCTAGCCACCCTGTTCAACTCACCACTTCTACAAACACAAAAGTACGTAATACTACTACCACCTAGCCACCCTGTTCAACTCCCCACTTCTACAAACACAAAAGTACGTAATACCACTACCACCTAGCCACCCTGTTCAATTCACCACTTCTATAACTACAAAAGTACACAGGACCACTAACATCTAACCACCCTGTTCAACTCCCCACTTCTACAAACACAAAAGTACGTAATACCACTACCACCTAGCCACCCTGTTCAACTCACCACTTCTATAACTACAAAAGTACATAGGACCACTACCACCTAGCCACCCTGTTCAACTCACCACTTCTATAAACACAAAAGTACACAGTACCACTACCACCTAGCCACCCTGCTCAACTTACCACTTTTATAACCACAAAAGTACATAGGACCACTAATACCTAAGCCACCCTGTTCAACTCATCACTTTTATAACCACAAAAGTACATAGTACCACTACCACCTAGCCACCCTGTTCAACTCACCACTTCTATAACCACAAAAGTACATAGGACCACTAATACCTAGCCACCCTGTTCAACACACCACTTTTATAACCACAAAAGTACATAGTACCACTACCACCTAACCACCCTGTTCAACTCACCACTTCTATAAACACAAAAGTACATAGGACCACTACCACCTAACCACCCTGTTCAACTCACCACTTCTATAAACATAAAAGTACATAGGACCACTAATACCTAGCCACCCTGTTCAACTCACCACTTCTATAATCACAAAGATGTATATTGTAATTACCACCTAGCCACCCTGTTCAACTCACCATTTGTTAACCAGAAAGATGTACATTTTAGCACCATTTAGCCACTCTGTTCAACTCACCATTTCTTTAACCATAAATATATGCATTGTAATTACCCCTAGACACCTTATTCAACTCGCTACTTCTATGCAAAGATACATATTTTAGCTACTAGATAGTCATCTCGTTTAGCCTGTTGTTCTACCATACAAATTTATCGTTAATCTATATTCTATTGAAAGTTTTTTATAGCATTCACTTCCAATAACTTAGTCTCAAAGTGTCGGTTTACACTAGTCGAGTAAATTAAGATCATTTATGAACTTTCTCTTATACGATTCGTGTTTTGTATTCTTGGTTATATAGACTGATCAAAGTGTATATGCAGCCACATAATTCAATCGAGCAGACCATATCGACGCTAATACAACCATTATACAAAATTACACCGGAACGTCGGCTCGTGGTTCTTAAGTCAAGCGTGACACGCGCCACGCGCCGAGATTTAATTACTACTGGGCAGACGATCTACCTTTACTTCTAGAGAATGACAAAATGACCATCAGGTATACGGTGTTTTGCGAGAACAGCTTTACGCACGTGCGTTATGGACACTCTGAAGCGCATGTGATGCGAGCTATAAAAAGCACCTGGTTGAAGTACCACATGTTTGTGTTTAGGGTGCCAATTTCAAGTTTTTGTCGTCAACAGCTTCCGTGATGATGTCAGCTACTCTATAACAGCCCATTTTATTGCGAACCAACATTGGCGAAAGTTTCCGCACTGTTAACAAGCACATCCTCTAATTTCCTTGGCATGCATATTCAAAAGTTAACCTCTACCTCTAATTAGATCCAACAATTGTGTTTAAGCATTTTTTCCCCTCAAATGTGGTATTTAGATAGGTTAGAGCCTCGGGGAACGGATGTCAAGAACATTTTTACGTCTTGTTTTAATGTATTAGAATATTGATGAAGCTCGTTAGGTGCATTTGAGAGGATCTCTTAACTGGAAACCTAAGAAGTGTGTATATTAAAATACTAACACAGTTTGTAAAGAGTTCCACAACTTTAGTAAGTAACACGTGAGTTTCAATATTCTTGAAACATTGGAAACATTATCCTGCTGAGGACCGCTGCCCCAATCGTGGTGATAATGCGAAATGCGTAACAAGGCAATATAACTTGTTTGTTTAGAGAAACAAAGACAAACGAACAACAACAAAAAAAAAAAAAAAAAAAGAACAGTAAAGGGAAAAGCCTATGTATTTGTGAATATAATTAAAACAGGGATCGATTAGGCTTATTTATTTTTCTAACATTAAAAAACATAATTGTTTTAGAAATCCTAAAGCTTGCTCAACAACAACAACAAATATCACTATTTACGTCATAGAAAAAAGGGTTTCGGTTTCGATTCTAAATTTCTCTTATTGTCATTGTTTCGTATTTACTCATACAACGCATGGGCAGGCTTCAATTTTCAGAAGATAAGATTAAGCTATTAATAAACGGTTGCCAAATAAGAGTACATGTAAATATACGCCTTTTTTTTTCATCGTAAAGAAAGCAAAACTCCTGCTCCCCGGTGGCTCAGAGGTAAGCTTGAGGATTTATAACACTAACAGGGTTCGATCCCTGCGGTAATTACGGCGTAGAAAGCCCATTCTAAAGCTCTGTGCTTAACAACAAATCAACGAAAACAGCACTGAAAAAAATGCCATTTCATATATTTTATCACAGTTTATCAAACTGCATGTGAAATGGTGAAGTTGAAAATAATGATAAAAAGATTACAGTATTTATCTATATTTTGGGTTGAAAATGTACACACTCCTTCTGAATCTTACAACTAATCAATAAATGTTGTATTATCAGTGAAAGAAACCAGAACTTATTTCACTTAAATATTATTTGATAGTATTGTTTGTAATTAAGCACAAAGCTACACAATGGGCTACATGTGCTCTGCCTACCACGGGTATCGAAACCCGGATTCTAGCGTTGTAAGGCCGCACACATACCGCTGTGCCACTGGGGGGGGGGCTGTTTGATAGTAACTTTACAACCTGTTTTTTAGTTGAATTATTATATTTTAGTTTTAGGATTTTTCTGTGAAACGAAGGATAAATATATAACTACATATTTTCAACATCGTTTTCTCTCTTTCTGCTTGTTTGATTCTTGAAACATTGCACAGAGGCCAGATATCTAGTATAAAAAGCACTTGAAACATTGCACGGAGACCAGATATCTAGTATAAAAAGCACTTGAAACATTGCACGGAGACCAGATATCTAGTATAAAAAGCACTTGAAACATTGCACGGAGACCAGATATCTAGTATAAAAAGCATCTTTTTTTTTTCATAGATATTTACTTTTTTTTTTTGTCATCCATTGTACACGGTATTTATAATATAATTAGATATAATCATATGCATGAATCTCTACATGTGTATATGCATACATATATATATCTCCTAGAGGCATTACATCAAAACATAAACCCACAAAAGAAAAGACAAGGGTTATCAATTATAACGAATCTACGTCTTTCAAACTACTAAAACGCGTAATTGAAACTTATTACAACCTTAACTCCAGTTCCATACAAAGGGTTGACGTTATATTAAAACGAATTTGAATATGTAACTCAACAATTTACGTGACAACCACGTCCGATATAAAGTTGCGGTGGAATGGCATGTATGAGAACTACATTTTGACTTTGGCGTTGCGTCAGTAGTGTGATGCCAGTGTAGTGTGATGTGTATGTAATAGCCCTTTCCGGAGCAAAATATACATACAATCCAATCATAAAGATGTGTTCAGACCGGAGAATTAGAATTTCCAGGACAGGAATATCTCTTGTACTTAATGACATGGTAAAACATACCAGAAAGAGGTTTGTAACAAGTCACACTCCAACCGAGGTAAGCAAAATGCGGCGTCCTGTAACAAGTGAGAATCTACTAAAACAAAGGATAAGCGGAAAAACCTTCCATGCGCACCAGACATCAGTACGCCACTTAATAAAGAAGGAAAATTGTCATAAGTCATATGGTACACAAGCTGCTTCCACGAGATATTCATTCAATTGTTTTATATCACAAGCATCTGGAGGATGAAACAGAAATTCATATTATTTCATATGAAGTCTCCATATGCAGTGCCCTGTTTTCGAACTGTTGAAATGGGCGCCGAAAAATCGTAGTCCTTATACATTAGACGGATTAAATAAAGTATGCAGAGATGTATGATGTACCTTGGACATGACAATCTTACGATGGAGCCTTTTGAAATGGAAACTACGTTACAGGGCTATTGTCAAAAGTCACGGTTGTCAGACAGAGCATGACCGTAGGTGGCGACATGGACTGTAATGACGTGGTGAGCCTCCAAAACCGTTTTAATATAACGTACTCAACCTCTGTTGGCTATTTGTATCACATAAAGGTTTTTTTTTAGCCTTACAACCTTTAGCATTAAGAACTACAAACCATTTAATCTGGAATATAGCAGTTTTCTAAGGCAAACTGCTATAGTTCAACACCTACAACTTTTTTATGTAGCAATTTTTTTAGAATTACGATATGAATCTAAACTTTTAAGATAATTTATCTATCATTTAATTAATACAGATGATCTTTGCATGTAAATCTAAAACATGGTATATACATAAGATTTTGTATACATATAAATAGGCCCCCAGTGGCACAGCGGTATGTCTGCGGACTTCCAACGCTAGAATCCGGGTTTTGATACCAGTGGTAGGCAGAGCACAGATAGCTCATTGTGTAGCTTAGTGCTTAATTACAAAGAAGCATATAAATCGGTAATATAATGGTTTCATAAATAAAAATCGCAGAAAAATCGAAACTGATACTTAAATGTGTAACATGAAGTTTATTCACCATTTAAAAATTATATTTCTGTCTTTGTATCTTTAATATGATAATTTTAGATACTTGAATGAACATTAGGCTTGCAACAAAGACATATAGGTAAAATAAAATCAATTAAGAATTTTTATAACAACAGTTTTGAAACGAAGAGTTTGAAAGTAAAATAATAATAATAAGGTATTTAAAAAATAATAATTTCTCGTAATCATAAATAATTTATTTCCAGGTCGAATTTTACTGGACATTCCATGTAAAGTATGTCAGGATCACTCCTCTGGAAAACACTACGGAATTTTTGCATGTGACGGGTAAGACATTTTATGAAAGTGTTCAACTGGGTAACTTTATTTTCGGTACATTAACTAAAGCACTGAACTATCTATTATAATAATACTCAGTTTTTGTCTGTCATTATTATCTAAGTGCGCATGTGCGCGCATTTCTATTCAACGGATGTGAACATAAGGCAGATGTAAATATACTTTAGTAAACATTTTGTACAACCATATATTAAAAGTTTATCAAAGTTTTTAAAAAAGGTTTAACGTTAAGTCGTAGAGTAACATGAAGTATATTTATTGATAGTATCAAGTATGATAAAGTTTAGCTCTAACTAAACTAAAGCATGAAAAACCTTTATCTCTTTATCGAATATAGGCCGTACTTAATTGATGCTTGATTAATGTTAGGCCTAAGACAAGTGGACTTACAGATTTCGGTGTTTGCGATTAGAGTTATTTGGTATTATCTAAGAAATCATGTAGCTAAAGAAGTACTGTTACAATAAAGATACTAATTTGACCGCAAATGTCTTGCAGGTCTCTGCTAGTTAATTAACTAATACAAATTAAGTTTAAATTTTTTAATGAGAAGGATAACTGAGTAAAGCAAGGACTGTTGAGTTTGGCGAATGTCAATAAACAATTATTTTAATTTTGGAAGTCCAGACTTGTGCTTTACAAAAGTTCGGTTTTAATAACCCTACGTAGAATTTGGGAAAAACTGAGTACTTTTAACATTATTCAATCTTTCATTAAAGCTATACACATTTCAAAAGCATGTTTACTTTGGCTGGAAATTAACTCTGCGACACTTTACCCAGTTATAATAGTGAAAAGATATTTGAATAAAAATTGTTAATTTGATTTCATCTTTTCTTTGTAATTATCACTCCGATGCCTAGGGAAAGCTCTAAGTTTTAATGCTATTGGAAACCCACAAATCTATTTACACAAGGGCTATCTGTGTTAGCCGTCTCTAATTTAGCAGTGAAAGACTAGAAGGAAGACAGCTTGTCATCACCACTCACCTCCAAATTTTGGGCTACTCTTTTACCAACGCATAGTAGGATTGACCGCCACATTATACCGTCCCAACGACTGAAAGGGCGAACATGGTTGGTGGGACGGAGATTCGAACCTGGGATCAATCTGATTAGAATTGTTTCGTATTAACATTATGTTAAGTTATCTGTTTTAAAGACTCGTCAAATTCACAAAATATGATTCAAATTCATTAATATTAACATTACTTAAAGTTCAATACAACAATTTCTGTTAGCAGCTAGGATGTTCAAACTGTGAAGTTCATTTGAACGCTCGAAACTCACCATGTTAATTCATATACTTGATTTTTTTTCGAGAACAATTTTTCATGTTAGTTATTTTAATAGAACTCTGGAAAAACAGTCACCTAATTTAATATAACTTCAAGAAACGCTTGGCATTGAAACGTACATAGTAAGACGTAGCTTAATTATAAAATATGCCTAATAAATGACATCAACCCTCCCCCCACACCGTATCACATCTAATAAATTACACCAACCCCCACACACACCGTGTCACACCTAATAAATTACATCAACCTCCCCCCCCACACCTTATCACACCTAATAAATTACATCAACCCTCACACACACATACCGTATCACACCTAATATATTACACCACAACACACACATCGTGTCACACCTAAAAAATTACATCACCCCCCCCCAACCCCCACACATACACACGGTATCACACCATATGTGGCCTAGTAGATTCCGTTTTCAATTTTACAACACACCTCAACAATGACACGTTTAGCCATGACAAAAGCTCCACGAACGGTTTTGGCTTTTCGCTGTATTTAGAGCGTCTTCAACGCTGCAACGGTTCTCTCTCTCTCTCTAACGGAGGGAACAAGAGTGTTTGGTGACAAAAACACGAAACCACTGCTGGCTGTCGATTGCACGCGGTAGTAATCATACTAAGACGTAAAACCAGTTTGCTCTTTTCCACCCCTCTATCCTCTTCAACATATGCCCTACCCTGGGGATTCTGATAGGATATAATGTCTAAGTGTAATGTAGCAGTAGAGGGTGCTTTCACGTACTGGATATTGATTCTTACTTTTATATATATCAACCAATCAAATGGCGACATTAGGCTAAAATCCGGGTGGCTATGGCGAGCAGCTGTGGTTGGATGTGTTCAGTTTAGCATTTTTTGTTAACTAATTCATGCTAAGAACGGTTTGAAAAGTTGGTAAGCCTTCTCTACTGTACGATTGAAAAGACATATTGAGCCCAGTCGACTGTTATGGTTATACGAAGTTTATAAAAAAAATGATAACTTTTATTAACTTTTGTCCAAGCTTTAGAGTGATTGTTTTTGCTTGTGTACGTTTACTTGAAAAATACTTAGGTTACAGAAAAAACGAATTCAAGCTCTCCAATGAAATTGGACAAAATTTCTCGTTAAAACATTATAAAAATGATAAAATTTTGTCAAAGCTTTATTATCTGTCTATGTTTTAGGTTAATACATATTTATAAATACGTACAGTGATATAACCCAAAGTCATTGTTGTAAAAGGTCCTTAATGGAGCAAGTTGGGATTGCAAGCTCTTCACGAGATTAAACAAAGTTGAGATTGCAGGCTTGGTTTTTGTTTGATTTCATTCAAGGCTACTAAAAGGCTTATTAATACTAGAAATAAAGGAACTTATAACACCAAAATGTTGTTTTTATTTAATTAGACACTCAACGTTTCGCTTTACAACTTCTTCAGGAGTGTGGAGGACGACGTTTCGAAAGTCTTTCTTCAGACGCTCCTGAAGAAGCTGTAAAAAGCGAAACGTCTAATTAAACAAAAACAACACATTGGTGTTATAAGGTCGTTTATTTCTTGTATTAATATGTTTTCTATACACCAATATGCACTACAGAAATTAAATACTATAGAGCTACCTGCGCTAGTCGTCCCTAATTTTGAGGTGATTGACTAGATGGAAGGCATCTAGTCAAAATAATCCGCCATCAACACGTGGGCTACTTTAATCGAACAGTGGGGTTTGACTCTTACAATCCACCCACTGCCCCAAAATACGGAGCATAATTTTTTTTTGTTTCTGTGTGTGTATATATGTGATAACGGGGCGCGAACCACTAAACTCAGACGCACGGTCCAGCACGCTGACCACTGGGCTGCGCTCGGTCTAACACCAAGATTATCGTGAGATTAAATAAAGAAAATGAAGAAAGCAAATTTATCATGGGATTGAACAAAGAAATATCGATTCTAGTTTTAAACGGTTACTTCTTTCACTTTAAACTAACTTCTAGGTTTGGCATATGTAAATATCAGATTATGATACGATTCTCTTTTCTTTTTTTCCACCTAAAAGTCTGATATTTGACTTCGTCAGATATGGAGAGAACAGCTGCTGAATTAAATTCTTTTCTCATCTGAAAATCAGATAAAAACCTTTCAGACACACGAAGAATCATTTTCTGATACAGTTCTTGCTCAGCTGACACTGACACAATGCATAAAATATGATGGGCCAGTTTCTGACATATCTCTCTTTCTTACCTACTGTGGCACCCTATAAATCTATTGAATATTAGGATTCAGTTGCTGATATAGATCTTTTTCTTACCTACCCTGATACACTATACGTCTGTTAAGTATGAGGGCCAATTTCTAACACGACTACGTTTTAGCTTGACTGTGGTACACTATAATTTTTTTTAAATATTAGGGATCAGTTGCTGATATAGAGCCCTTTCTTACCTACTCTGATACACTATACGTCTGTTAAATATGAGGGGCCAGTTTATGATATATCTCTCTTTCTTACCTACTGTGATAAACTATACATCTGTTAAGTATGATGGGCCAGTTTATGACTTAGCTCCTTTCTTACCTGACTCTGGTTAAGAATAAATCTGTCAAATATGAGGTGGTTATGTCTGACATTCCTCCCTCTCACACCTCGCTGACACATATTTGACTTTCTTATTCATTTAACAGTGTTATACGAAACTTTCATACAAAGTATCACTTAGGAGAAAATCTGTGAAACATTATTATTAACAGGAAAAGGAAACGAATAAGCAAGGAAACTGATGTAACATATTTTGGATGTTGTATAATATTGTAGTGTTAGAAAGGTGATCTGATGGCGTTTCTCTTGTTTAACAAAAAAAAAGCGAAATGATGACTATCAGTAAGCAATTTTATTTGAATAGAGGGCAGTTTGTGAAAGTGTAAAATATTGTAGAGGCATACCAAAATTTTATATCAATAAATTTATAATAGAAATTTTGTAGGTGATAAAAAATAATAAAACGTCAATATTTATGGTGTTTTTAGTTGTCTTTTACGCACCACAGTGAACCCATATTTTTAAATGATTTCAAGAGGACATGGCATTTATGCTAATAATTAATTCTTCTGAATTACTCAAAAGACAAGCTATTTAAGTAGTTAAAAATATATTTACATATATAAGAATATCCTATCTAAACATAAGTTCACTGTAGTGAGTGAAACACAACTAAAAACACCATATGTATAACATACAGTTCTACACTACAAGAATCCTTGTCTTTTTTCGATTTACCCTTGTTCAGGGTTACTGATGAGGGGTGTAACTCCCCGAAACCAGTAAAACTTAATGAATCGAATGATAGTTTGGACTTCATGTGTATTTTTAATATCTTAAAAGTTCTGTAAATTATGTTACCAGCTTGTTTTATATATCCAAACCTGAGTACACCCACTTTTAGTTCAAACCACTGTTCATGAACTAACGGATATCTTTACGTTGAGTGTAATATCTAAATGTAATTTTTCTGATTTATGCCTCGCCATTAAAACTTGTTCTTATCTCTTCTCTTCTAGATGTGCAGGGTTTTTCAAGGTAAGTTCAAAGCTTTTTCTTACAATTTTAATAAATTGTAATACTAATTCATTTTAAATATAATGAAACAATTAATAAAATAAAGTTCATACATATTAGATTTTACATCATTAACCATAAAACTAGAACTGTTAAAAACCTATGACAACCCAACTGCATTATGTTGAACTATACACTAAAACAAATATCTATCTATCTGTAATATTGTAATAAACTTTTCTTCCCAGCGGTCCATCAGACGAAATAGACAGTATGTTTGTAAAGCACGTGGTGCTGGTGCTAATAACTGTCCGGTTGATAAAACTCACAGAAACCAGTGTCGAGCTTGTAGACTTCGTCGGTGTCTAGAGGCTGGGATGAATAAAGACGGTAAGAGTCTTTGTACCTTTTGATAAATCACTCGAGAGTGAATTCTGTTAATGTTAATTGTTCCTGTGTAGTAGATTAGATTAGCAGTTTATCAGTAAAAAGTTAGTTTTAGCTAATAGTAGTTTCACATGTGTATGTAATAACGCGTTTATTTATCTGTACGAGTATTTTTCACGGTTCATATCTAAAATGAAACTGGTATGCATGCGTAGAAAAACACAAAATAATTAGCACGGTTTTAATACCGACAGCTGGTGTAGCAATGACAACCAATAGGTTTAGCGTTTGTGATAAAAATCAGGTTAGGCTACATTTTTTTTTTTTTTACATTTATATTAATCTGTCCGTTACGGATATCAAATCATCTTTTGTCTTCCACGGATCACAACCTAAGAGACCTTTCGTACAATATCAGATCTCTTTAAAAACAAAAGAAACATATGCAGTCTAACGAATTTTGATCACAAACATTAAGGAAAAAACTGATCTAAAAAGTGTCTTTTTTTCTTTGAATAATCAAGATACTCATTACATATATGAACTCTTGGTCTACACGAGGACATAAGGAAACAGAAAGCGCGTGCGCAGATGTAACTTATCGTTTATGCCTGACCGCTAGCCAAAGCCAGGTGCAAAAGATGCGTCTCATCACGTGCGATATCATATATATATATATATATATAAACCGAATCAGACGGAGGTGTATATCAATGTGTTTTATAGGCCACTGAATCAGTTAGTGCAATTAAACCTGAATACCTTGTGGTTGATATACTGTAAGAATGGTCATTACGTCTCTTATAAGCCTGCTTTTTTACTCTACGGTTATTGTGTGGTCGACACTGATTCCTTGGCTCATGGATATCATTCATTAATCGCATAAATCGGAAAATGTCATCTAAAATTCAGACAATTAATTAAAAACATAAAATTCATATGTGAATATCGAATACAATGTTAACATTTCAGAGCTTAAAACCAAACTGAACATTTTTTTTGTTGTTGCTAAGCGTAAAGCTACATAATAAGCTATCTGTGTTGTGCCCATCGCGGGTATCGAACCCATACACTTGGTATTATTAGCCCTCAAACTTATCACTGAATCATAGGGAGGGGACTAAAACACGTAAAATTTTAAGGAATAAACTATCAAGTCAAAAATTAACATTATTCACAAAGACGCATAGGAAGACTCATCAGTCTAAAGGCCATCACCTACTTGTCTCTCAAAAAAGAGACCTCAGTGCTTATAATCGTCATATAAAAAACACACGAAAGTTTTAATAAAAGTGTTCTTAAAGACTATCGTTTATTGTTATCTGAAACATTCCAAAAAGGTAATGTAGGAAAAATTAACATAAAATTCCAACAAAGTTATATAAGGCCTAAAATGATTTATCTATAATTATAAGTAACTTTATTTTACATGTACGTCACAATTACTTCCACACTACCTATCATTATTTCCACAACAAGCTTTTGTTTTTAGATAACGAAGTAAAGTTTCCATGTACGTGAAAATAATCTTCTGGATATACTGATGGGTGGATAGATCTATTGTTAAATGGACAAATAGACAAGGTGCGAAGGCCTCTAATAAACAGCTCCTCCCCCAGTGGCTCATTGGTAAGCCTGTGGGATTATAACGAAAAATATAGGGGTTCGATACCCATGGTGGGCACGGCCCAGATACTCCAGTATGTGTCTTTGCGTTTGAACAAACAAAAGAAAAGAGTAAGCCAATTGAGCATAAACATAATTAACTCCCGGTGGCTCAGCGTTAAATCTGCGAGCTTATAACGCTAAAAGTCGAGTTTTGATACCCTTGGTAGGCAGATGACAAATGGTTTAATAACCAGTCACCTAAATGACCAAATTAAAAGTAATTGGTTTAATTTCTTTCATTATCCTGAACTCTTTGGAAAAAGGTTTTATATTTAATTGGGGTTGTCCAATTAAAAGGGTTTTAATTAACTTCAAAGTAAAAGGAAATAAGTAAAACTATAACAATTTTAATAGGGTGTGGGTTGGCACTTGGTGGGTTGGAGTTCTGGATGTAGAAGCTGACGAGCTGGTTTCGAATCCATGCGATATCATAAAATATTTGCTAAATTGTTAGCAGTGAATGCGTCATAAAAGTGCCAGTCAATCAATTAGCATGAAATAGGGTGATGGGCTGATTGTATGCTTTCTCTCTGATCAATAGTTGAAAACTAAAGAAGGTAACAGAAAGACTTATTAGCTTTGTCATAAATACAAAAATGTTATGTTAAATACTAGCTGACGTATCAGTTCTAAACATGGGGGAGACATATAGACACCCAATAAATGATATAAGGAGAAAGGTCTGAACAACGACTACCCTTACGTCACTCCCGAAGGGTTCTAAGCGTGTATGCAAAGTATAGTTGAGGTCATTCAAAAACTGAAGACCCCAATGGCACAGTGGCATGTCTGCGGACTTACAACGCTAGAAACCGGGTTTCGATACCCGTGGTTGGCAGAGCACAGATAGTCCATTGTGTGCTTTGTGCTTAACATCAAACAAACCAAAACCAAAAACTGAAGGTGTGAAGGGAATATACACGAGGGGTGATATCTGGGAGTGAGATCCAAATACTGACCTCATTATGTGATTTCTCGGGGGTCGTAAGGGTGCATGTCAAGTTTAGATGAGACCGATAAAAAAAAAGCGGAATGAAAAGTGGTACGTGACTTTTAAGATTACTGATGTAAAAATTAAGTTCAAAGGTGATTCTAATCTTTATTGCTATAACCATGTTGATAAAGAAATCATGCTCTGTCATTAGGGAAGAAATAAATTTATAGAAACAGATACGTTTCTTTACATAAATAATTAATTTAGATAAATTACATAAGACAGTTTACCAATCCATGTACTGTGATATGTGAACGTTAAAAATAATCAACATAGGCCAGCGTGGATTAATATAGATTAATAATTTCAATAAATTAACATAAATGAGCGCACAAACGTGTATGTTCTCTTTATGACGATTGAATATTTAAGTTGAATAACATCGGCTATAATAGCAACCATTTTATTCTTTCTACATGAACGATATATGTAAGTTAATTAGCATATATAATTGTATCGATGTCTGTATCCTTTTTGGGTGGATTTCATTTTTAAATTTTAATCTCGCCCAGATGTCGTTAGTCCTAACGCGTCAAACGCTTAACTACGCGAACATTTCAAATAATAATAATAGTAATAATTTTTTGCTGCTAAAAATAAATAGAAACAAATAAAGAAACATTAATTTATATCATAAAAATTAACGAAATTATCTAGTGGCCGGTTTTCAGCTTCTAACAAAACCTCCAGCAATAATGTATAGAACAAGAACAAGGAGAGACAACGTGGTTTTTAGCCCTTGTGACACGATTCTAACCCCATGTTTCATTTTCAAACCTCGTGATACAATTGTAACCTTATGTCTCATCCTCAATATTTGAAACTTGTTCAGCTTTTTGGAAACGAACATCAACACTTAAACTCTTTGTGTATTGTGTTAGCCAGTTAATCGTCATTTTAGTGTACGAATGAATAAGCCTACTTCATTTTTTTGTTGGTAAACTATTCAAATAGAACAGCTCTATCTAAGGTTATATTGGTTATGTAAGTAAATTTAATAAAGAACAAAATGCAAACGTTTATCTTAACCAAAATGCATCTATTTTCTCACAGCTGTTCAGCACGAGCGTGGACCTCGAAACTCCACCATCAGGAGGCAGGTTGCCATGTACTTCAAGGAAACAGCTGGCACGGAACTGATGTCCACCCCACCGTTCAGTAGCCACCCAGCTTTTACCAGTCTCATAACGGTAGCTTCCGAAGCCTCGGGCCCTACTGCAATCACTACAACAGCACCATCTTCATTTTCCTTAAGAACACCTCCAATACTACACCCAGTGCCAAAAGTACGTAACGTAAACGTTGTTATTTCTTTATTTTCCTATGATATATCTGATAGTATGAGTTCAATCAGCTAGGATTAAGTTATGATGTGGGCATCGACAGTACGTGATTGGTCGTTTTTATGAAGAAATAGAATACAAAACCCTATAACCCGAGCGCTTTCTAAAATTGTACCTTTCTTCATCAGGGACAAACTGGGAAATATGAGATGTTCTAGAGTTGGATAGAAGAAGAGCAAACGGTTTTAGCTCACAGTTAGTTTCAACATCAAGTTTTTCAAGTTGTAAATCCAAATCATCTAATTAGGGTTCTCTCTTACGGAGACATTCTCGTGTTCGATTTACCAGTAGATTGCATTGAAACTAGCTTCAAAGAAATAATGTTCGGCTTGTGAGAAGACGAAATACAAAAGTAGTCTTATCTATAATGAACATTACAAAATCTGAAAACATTGATATTATGATATCAAACATATGTTCCTTCACAGATTCAATTTTCGTATCGGACGTGATGAAAAATGAGAGCTCGTACTAACCATCACACAAACACACACTTCAAACGAGGCTATCATAAACTCGAATGTTTTGGGTTTTAGAAGGGGCCAGTTTTTCTTAAAAATCTAAGCAGGAATTGATATTAATTCCGATAAGGTAACGATGAATGAACATTTTAAGGCACTTTTAAATTAAAAGATGGTCCATTTATAGATACTCTACTAGAATAATAATGAACAATTATAGAGGAAATATCGTTTTACATCAAGCCTCTACATGCCTCCCACCAATCTCAATAAACTTGTTAAATCTTTTAATACTCTCTTAATAGAACATAATCTTTAGAAGTCATCGGGGTATCGATGTTTTCATAAATCGACCCCTATTGGAACAGGTAGCAATCATTTTGTTCCAGATTTTTATATGAGTATCAGCGATCCAAACCTGTGGTCATGCTGTAGTTTCAAGTGTTTGATTGTTAATTCGATTTCGAAAAGAGAGGATTTCCCATTTCTATTGGCATTCCTGAAAATTATCAGTCTGTAGTGGATTTCATAGGAAGTGGATTTCTATTACAGTTTCCTGTCACACTGAACAAAATAAGACGCGTTTTAGTAATAATAGTGTAGAAACACGTAAAGTAAAACTTCTGTTAGAAGACAGCATGGTTTATATATTACAGTACTTGTACTGCATATAGTATATATACAGTCGGTAAATATAAACGTCTATGCTCAGCAGAAGTTTATGTTTGTTTGTCGTTACTCGTAAAGTATGGAACCATGTTAGTATAAACTATATTAGTGATATTATCCTATGTTGTTAATATAAACTATATTAGTGATATTATTATATGTTGTTAGTATAAGCTACATTAACGATATTGTTATATGTTGTTAGTATAAACTATATTAGTGATATTATTATATGTCGTTAGTATACACTACATTAACGATATTGTTATATGTTGTTAGTATAAACTATATTAGTGATATTATTATACATTGTTAGTATAAACTACATTAACGATATTGTTATATGTTGTTAGTATAAATTATATTAGTGATATTATTATATGTTGTTAGTATAAACTACATTAGTGCTATTATATGTCGTTAGTATACACTACATTAACGATATTGTTATATGTTGTTAGTATAAACTATATTAGTGATATTATTATATGTTGTTAGTATAAACTACATTAGTGCTATTATTATATGTTGTTAGTATAAGCTACATTAACGATATTGTTATATGTTGTTAGTATAAACTATATTAGTGATATTATTATATGTTGTTAGTATAAACTACATTATTGCTATTATATGTCGTTAGTATACACTACATTAACGATATTGTTATATGTTGTTAGTATAAGCTACATTAGTGATACTATTATATATTGTTAGTATAAACTATATTAGTGATATTATTATATGTTGTTAATATAAACTACATTAGTGATATTATTATATATTGTTAGTATAAACTATATTAGTGATATTATTATACATTGTTAGTATAAACTACATTAACGATATTGTTATATGTTGTTAGTATAAACTACATTAGTGATATTATTATATGTTGTTAATATAAACTACATTAGTGATATTATTATACATTGTTAGTATACACTACATTAACGATATTGTTATATGTTGTTAGTATAAACTACATTAGTGATATTATTATATGTTGTTAATATAAACTACATTAGTGATATTATTATACATTGTTAGTATACACTACATTAACGATATTGTTAT